CCAGCCTTGAGCCTCTGGCCTGTACCCCAGTTCTGTATGCATAAATAAATAAATCTTTAAAAATATATATATATAATATCATTTTTATTGAAGTAACATTGGCTTAAAATATTATCTAGCTTTTAGTTCTTCAGCATAATAATGTGATTTCTTATCACATTACCAACAATCTGGCTTCCAACTACCACTGTACAAATGTCGCCTTTACCCAAAATGTATCCAATACCCACTTAAAAGACATATTAAGAAAACTCTAGAGTTATTTTCTTAAGTTTCATTCTATCCAAGCAAACACAAAAAGAAAGATGACAGCTAGCCCAGTGATCCACCTCACAGAGAAAATCAGTTAGCTTCTCTTCTACAGCAAAGCACAGATCCTTGTGGAGAAATTATAGCTTTCTGAGAAGCTCATCTTTGAGACACTGAGTATCCGGTCTTGGTTCCTGGTGCCCAGGGAATTTAAAGCAACTACACCTCACCTTGAGTGCACTATAAGAACCTTAAATGTGGTAACTATTAACAATGTGTCCTTCCTGCTTTCTGGTCCTCAATTTCACTATTGACTCAGTATCCAGAAAACATGCTCTCCAAGTCTCTAAACCTGCCACCAAAAGACACAATATACCTGCTTAGCTTCAACCTTGTATTTCTTCGCACTTTGCACCAAATTTCATAACATACAAGTTATGTAACAAAGAAGTAAAGCTAACAGGGCGCATATACTTACCAAGAAATATCACCGGGGGAAAGAAAAGAAATTCTAATTCCATCTAAACTAAAAGAAAAACTAAATTATCTTCCTCTGTGACAAGAGTTATAAAATATACAAGATAAGAAATAGTCATTCGACTAAGATTATCAACTGGTCCCTTTCTCCAGGTATTCATGCATCACCTAAAGGACTCAAACCTAAGGCTGTGGGGAATCACCTAACTCTGGTTTTAGGCAGAAGCTTCAAAAGTCTGAAAGAGATAATGTATTTTTAACTCAGACAAAACAAACAACAGACTGTTTCCAGAAAATATCACTACAGTTGAGTATGTCACTAAAATAACTGAATGTGGTATTGATCTATTACAAAATATCTCAGGGAGATTATTTTTCTAAAAACATTTACAGTGACTGCCTTAATTGGTTCTCATTTTCCCAAATAGTCTATGGGCCATTAAAAATAAAAGAAATATAAATAAAATATGTAGTATCAGTCTATGGAAAAAATTTCTCTACATGTGTTAGACACTTGGAAAACATTAAGTAGAAATGAAAATAGAAAAGCAGCTGTTTTCAAGCTAACTAAGGTCAACAGTTTCATCTGTCAAAAGGTTCTAAATAAAACATTCAGCGTAAAATCATGACCATGTGGTGCAGGTAACACACATGTCAACCTATGGGGTTATGAGTAAATATCAAATGCAGTACTGAAGTGAAATGAAGACTTTCATTGAATTTTGGTTTTCAAAATGATAAAAACTAATGTCCCAGATAAAAACTAATGTACATGACAGACTTGATTACCATATATGTATTCCATTTTTACAAAAAGAAAAATTGACTAATAAACCAGAGATATATTTTTATCCATTTGTTAGTTGCTCTCTTCTTTACTTATTTTTCGCATAACATTTCATTTTCACTGATGTGGCTGTACCAAACATATAGGCCCTTGGAATTAATTTACTTCACATCCTAACCCTATGAGTCAGCATCCAATTCTGTCAGCGTATTTTTAGCAAATGCCAAGTCCTCTCAGTTATATTCCTGAGTAATTCACGTAAAAGGAGATCCATGTTTTATGAAAATTTTCAACCTCCTTAAAACTGTGTTTGTAATAATTAGCCTTATTGGTAATTTCCCCTTTACTATTTCCCTCTAACCACAATGGTAAAATCATTAAACATCAGTTTGCTCTAAAAAGTCCTTTGACATAGTAACTTTTTAAGGAAATACTGACTAGAATACAACTTTCTAAAAAAAATAGTATTTTTTAACTCTACTTATCAAAGCAAACTGGTAGAAATGAGAGAAGCATAATACATGATACATGAGAGCTGTCATAGCTAATATCCCTATAGTATATTTGAAAGAGGTAGAGAAACTTAATGGAACTTGCTTATCTTTAAAAAACTGAACCCACTAGGCAACCTATCTTCAAGTGTCTCTGGAAAGTAACCAGCTCTTGATTCACATTTGTTCATCTATTAACCATGTTCTAAAAGCACAAAAATTCCTCCTGAGAAGAGTAAATATTCTCAAGAGGCTACACCATGTTGAGCAATAAAAATGCTGAGGATTATTAGCCCAAAGCAGAGTGTTCAGTCTTGTAGTGTTACCCTACCCTCTCCTACATCCTGCCCTTTTATGCTGTTATTAAAAGTATAGGTTCTTTAGTTGAAACCCCCTGGGTTAGATCCCCTCTAGCACTTTACTACCCATGCAATGTTGGTCTAATACTCAACTACCATAAAATAATGAAAATAAAAGTACCTCCCTCCTGGCCATTATGATTAAATTGGTCAATACATATAAAAACACTTGGAACAGATCCTGGCATATAGAAAATTCCCAGTAACTGCCGCTTATTACTACATAATGATAGGAATGAAAGTAAAATTATCTTCTTTGGAGCAACTCGGGTACTCTAAAATAAATACCAATTCCTTTTACTGTAAATATATCCTGGTATAACACAATGGCTAAAGCAATTTTCAAAAGTCAACCACTTCACCCATTTTTGGAGTGGAAGAATTATGACTTGTTCATGTAAAATTCCTAATTTTGTGTTCCATTAACAGAATTAATATTAACAGTTATTTAACAATATTTAAGAAATAATCTATAATCCCAATAGTAATAGCTAAGCTTTATACTTATGTTGAATGGTTTGGGTACCATGGTATGAAAAATAATATCCCGCCACATTGTCCACAGCCTAAGTCCCAGAACCTGTGAATATGCAACATTATGTACCCCTCATGCAAAAGGGTACTGCAAATATGATAAGGAAATTACCCTGAATTATTCAGGTGGGCCCAGGGTAATCTCAGGATCTTTATAGGCCCAGGGTAATCTCAGGATCTTTATAAGCAGAAGAGGGACGTATGAGAGTATGTGTCAGAAGTGTAAGAAAGACTCCCTGAGCCATTGCTCATTTTGAAGATGGAAAGAAGCTAAGGAATGCAGGGAGCCCCAAAAGGCAGATAAGACAGGGAAATATTGCCCCCAGAGCTTCCGGGGGAATACAATACCACAACATATTAATTTTAGCCCAACATCTTAATTTTGGATTTATGACCTTCATATTCTAAGATGATTTTTCGTGTTTTAAACTACCAGGTTTGGGATAATTTGTCGCTGCAGCAATAAGAAACTAATACAAGTGCCTTGATAAGTTGTCCTCACAACAGGCATCTGAGTTGGTCTTTCTATATGCCTGTGAAACAAATGCTCTCATTCTTTTTCTGTGGAGATTCAGAGTGAAAGAACCTGTTTATGAAGCTTTATTTAACTTTCCCAAGAACTGAATCATGATGTGACATTAAATATATATACATACATATATTTGCACATTCTTTTCTCTTTGTACAGGCATACTGGTTAAAAAAGCTCACTCATCATGTGCATGAAAAAATAATTTGTCTTCCTATGATGAGTTCAAAATTAATTCCTTGATCTCTGTCTAGTTATATTAGTAATATATTTACTTTGCATGTTCTATGTGCCAGGAATTCGTGTTTATTCTCTGCTGAGAACACAAAATTTAATAAGAGATTCTTATCAGCAGGTATTTATAGATTAACTGGTGGGTGCAGGCAAGCAACCTAAAAAATAGCAGCCATGCAGGCAGTTCTTTGAGAATAATATGCATAGAACAATCTGATGACAAAAAGTAGAGAAACAGCTGTCATTCCATTTGAGAAAGTCAGGAAAGGTTTTTTAGGAGAGATTAATCCTTGATGGGAATCTTAACATATGATTAAGAATTTTCTAGTTTTGAGCAAAGTATTTGTAGGAAGAGGTAGATTAGTAATACAGAGTGGAGAACTTCCTAGATAGAAAAAAGAGTAAAATAAATTGAAAAGTCCAGTAATCAATCATAGCTAGGGTGCAGAGGACCACCAAGAGAAAATGCTAGAGAGGATGCAGAAGCTAGACTGTACAGGGGAGGGCCTTGACTAGTGGGTATATACCTTGTGATGGAAAACTCTTCAAGGATCTTAAATAGGGTGAAATATTACTAGAATGATATTTCTGATAGCAGGTGATGCTTGAAAGAGGTCAATTCTATAAGGTAGTTAGAGGGCTATTGCAATAGCCCAAAGGATAAAATAATAAGTCTTTATGCCCCACCCAACCCCACCGCAGTCAAAAGCAGTGAGGACACAGGGACACGTGGGTGAATACTTTCAAAGACAAAACAATGAGAACATCAGGGTAAGAGTCGGAGGTCCCTTCGAGGATTCTGGTTTCAATTGCTGGATAAATAAAGGTACCCCCAACTGAGATAGGTTTGGTGGTGATGAATGCTATTTATCAAATATTTTCAACTCTTCCTCATTCCACTATGATATTAACTTGGGTTATATTCATTCTCTCACCTCATTCTCTGTCTCTTGACAGCTTTGATGTTGGTCCAAGGGTACAAACTTCTAGTTAAAAGATGAATGTATGTTGGGGATCTTATTCCAGTCTGGGGAAGTATTATTGGTAACATTTATTATATACTTGTGTTTTTTAACTTATTTAAAAATAAGTTAAATAGCGCCCTTCCTGGTGGCACAATGGGTTAGGACGCAGCACTGCAAGCTAGCCACAGCTGCTTGAGTGTGAGTTCAATCCCTTGCCCCGGAGGTGACCCACATGGCGTGGCAGACCTCCCCTGACCCACCCGCTGCTCCTCTTAGCCATGTGCGTTGTCGATCTGCCTGTTCTGCTCCCCACTTGTTTCTGGTGAATCCTCTCACTGCCCCTGCCCTTCTGGCCTGTACCCCAGTTCTGTATGAATAAATAAATCTTAAAAAAAAAAGTTAAATAACTTAACTAGTACTTTTTTTAAGGATTTATTTATTTATGCACATAGGAGCTGGGGTATATGCCAGAGGTGTGGCATGTGAGAGGATTCAGCAGAGACAGAGTGTGGAGCAGAACAGGCAGAAGTACTGAAATACACTGTTGAGGGGAGCAGCGGGCAAGTCAGGAGAGGTCTGTCTTCGCCATGTGGGTCACCTCCCTGGCCGGGAGTTGAACTCATGCTGCGGTGGCTGCGGATAGCTTCATAGTGCTAGGCTTTAAACAGTTGGGCCACTAGGGAGGGCCCCGTATACTTGTTTTAAAGGAACCTCCAAGGCACTTTTTTCTTTCACTCTGGCGCAATAACTGCAAAGGTTGAAGATGATGGCTTTCTATTAATTTAGTCCTTAACCAACTTCAGTAAACACAGTTACCATCTGTCATCTCCCCATGCCATTTCTTCTGTCCTCCCTTACAAATCATGCTAATTTTAATTTTTATTTCATTTTTCTTTAATAATGGCATCACTCACCCACAAAGGAAAGCAGGATCACCAGCAGGACAATTAGCGCACAGATACATGGTATCAGGACCAGCAGGAGGAAACGGAGAATGGTAGCAGTTGCCAGCTTCTGCGAGCAGCCGCCGCCCATGTTACTATCATCAGCTCCCAAGGCCTAAGTCAAAGAGGGAAATGAAATACAGTTTTAATTTTATGAAGCAACTCAATACATAAACTTCTTGTATCTGAAAAACTGCCTTTATTTTAAAAGCTATCACAGTGGTTTCTGAAGGATGGTCATAATCTGCCTCACCAAGTCGATTTGGTTCCATTGTGAGGCCTTTTTAATCTTTTCTTCTTGATTCTTAACTCTGTTATGTTTGCCTCCCAGAGGCTGACCCAACTCTTTTCATGACAGTCATTTTGGCCCGTTCCGAGCCTTCATTTTCTCCAAGTCAACAACGTTTTCCTTCTTTCATTTCTCTAGTGATCTTCCTTAGCATCTTTGGAAGAGCATTTCATCATTGGATGTTGTAAATATACTTCAATCCTAATAGATCAGTAACCAAATAAATAATCTCCATCCCCATATCTTTTATTGTGCTGGAACTCCATATCTAGGGGGTTGAGGATCACGCTTTGCATAGCAGACCTACCGACCTCCAGTCAGACTCCCTGCTTATCACTTGTGGTCCATAGCCAAGCCCTCACAATACTAAACACAATGAAACAGAAAAAAAATCTATATTCAACACTCTGTATTATTGGTTTGAGACTAATTTGGCACCTAAATTCTCTGGGTAGGAAGGTGACGAGTTGCAAATGTGTTTTCAACTCTGCTGTTTCAGTGGTGCAGAGAACAGCCCACCAGGGTAACATCACATCGACTGGTGTGGCCTGAACAGGACACAGAAGCTCCCTCTGAACTCTGTGAGGATATTACACTATGAACAACTACATGCCATACTCATTGCCCTGAAAAAATACAGACACTCTCGGAGTCCACTTATTACTAGATTATCAGCTTGTAACACTAACCTGCACAACTACCACTCCAAAATGAATTGTTTTTTCAGGCTAGAGATGGAACTTCTCCAGCCCATCTTCACTGTCCACTGAGCAAAAATGAGCCAGTATCCTTATTTAAGAAGTACGCCCTGTGATAGATGCTTCCTTCTCTGTTGTTAGTAAGTTGGGAAAGCCTTCCTTACATGAATTAGAAGCAGATTTATTGAATAAATGATCAGTGATGTAAACACATTGCAAATCATTCCTCTGTTAATTCTCCATATTATCATTAGCTTCCAGTATACCAATAAGCCGAATGCCTCCAAAACCATCCATGTTGAATTATGTCAGAGCCAAATGTTTTTTGTTGTGGTGTTTGCTTTTAATATCCCAGAGGCATGACAAACAAACATCTGGTTTCAGTAAGTCTTTTCATCCCGTTTTTTGGCATTTGATTGTACATAAAAGTTCAAATAATTCATGCACTCTCTCAGAATAAAATTACTCCATTCACACCACAACACATGGACCTGCAAGTCATTCTAGCCCGTGTTCTCTTCTTTGAAAATTACACCAGAACATTAGCACCAGACATTCCCTCAAATTTCATATTCAACATCCCAGAAAGCATGTTCAACCTGGAAACTAAATACCAACAAAATATTTTTCTTGCTGAGGAGACAAGATAATAATTACCCAATACCCAGGCAGCATCTGGTCCTAATGTTGCAATTCTGAGAGTAGCATTGTCAAGCTGACATCGGAAACAGGAGAGAAAAGACTGGAATGTTCCAGAGGCAACTTGTACAATATTGTCTACACCACTGAAAATCTAGGTGACTTGATAAAGTCATCACCCTGTTTGTAATCAGATTTCTATGTCTGAAAATAAGTCATAAAATGTAAGTCTCTTACTCTAAACACAAATATTACAAAAGTAAAATAAAATTGGCCAAATGAAAGAAAAGTAAAAAACAATACTAATAACAATGTTTTTCAAGTTCTCAGAGCTTGAAAAGTCCAGTTTTCTCTGAAATACATAAGTTGAGTTTGTTCAATTCAATCTTCCTGCAAGAAAGTTACAATCTTTTCTTAAGTGAGAACTTGTCTTCAAAGGCAACAGCAGAATCTTGTAAAAGAAACCGCCCCCCCTTTTTTTTCCCAGAGGAGGGTAGCAGGGTCATAATTCTGTGATTGTTATGGAAGATGATCTTGGAGGGAAACATCAGGCAACTTCTCATCTTGACAAGGCAGATAAATAGGACCCTGCATTCTTTTTGGGGATTATTTGCCCCCAATATCGAATATGTCAAGGTTACCATTTTATGACAGACACAAATCTTAAAATAATAAAAGTTTCCTTTTAAGGCAGATATTATACCTGAACACTTTCTACATATATTAGGGAGTACTAAAGGTAATTTATTTCCCCAGTATATTGTGTTGGAAGCAGTGGAGACTACAGGAGGGAAAAGTCAAAAGAGTTTCACTTTCCATTCCTCAGGAAATTAAATATTTCACATTTATTCATTAAATGTTCTAAATTTCATATTCTGATTACAGATTACTATGTTTTTAAGGGAGCAATGGCAAAATCCAAAGGAATTTAATACAGAGCCAAATGAAGCCACACATATTTTTCATGTAGCAGTAAGAGGCTGTTGAATTTGTACAGATCTTAAAGACTTAATTAACTCTAAAACAATAGAAATGTTGTGACTTTTAAAAGTTGAAACAGATTGGCAAAGTGAGTACAGAACTAAAATATTGACTCTCTAGAGCTGAAAATAATCAGGGAACACACACAAGACAAAATGGATTTTATGCTCTACAACAATCTACTTCAGGCATTTCAATGCAAAGTAAAGCATAAACAGATGTTGAAAACAGTTAACCTACTGAACCTACCTGCTGAAAGGAATCCTGCAGTTAAAAAAAAGTACAAGAAAGGATTTTAAGTTAGATGATGCAGCATTTTCTTTCTGAATACCAGAACAGAAGACTGAATTCCAAATTTACCATTCATCATAGGGGTCCCTTCAGTCTATGAACATTCTCATTGGAAAATACAAGAAAAATGTATGTTGGGGTTTGCACTACAACTGTGTATGCTATGTGTTTAAAAGCTCACTTATTCGGTTTATCCCACCCATGCTTATTTAGCACTATTCTCTGCACAGCTGAGGTATTGGGATATAAGATGACAAAGACAGTCCTTGCCCTCTGGGAGTTGACAGCCTACCTCTGAGGAGATACACAGCATCATGGGTGGCTTTAAGACCCTGTGACAGGACAATGAAGCAGAGATACAAAGAGGATTACAACACGGGTATGGAGTGGTCTAGACCATAGTCAGTCTGCAAGGTTATGCTATAAAATATAGGTTATCTTGGCCCTCCCTGGTGGCGCAGTGGGTTAAATAAAGCACAGCACTAAGAAGCTAAAGTCACTTCCGCATGAGTTCAATCCCTGCCTGCCCCGGAGGTGACCACATAGCGCGGCAGACCTCCCCTGACCCGCCCGCTGCTCCCCTCAGCAGGGTACTTCATAGATCTGCCTGTTCTGCTCCCCACTCTGTCTCTGGTGAATCTTCTCACCCTCCGCATCTCTGGCCTGTACCCCAGTTCTGTATGAGTAAATAAATCTTAAATATACTTATTAATTTATATATATATATATTTAAGATTTATATTTATTTAAGATTTATATATATATATAGGTAATCTTTACTTTTGCACCAACAGTAGTTCTTAAGCATTCATTCCCATGGGTCTCCAAGTATATATGTGTATTGGTTGAGGGAGGTGGGAGAAGCAAATAATTGACATAGTGAACAGAACAATTTTCAGTGATGGGATTCTCGCACAACCTAGGATATTTAGTATCCCTGGGCATCAATTAGTAAATGTCAGTGGTAACTCTGCCCACCTAGGTGTGGTTTCCTCCAACAAGCCCTCCATTCTTTCCAAATGGCCACCCCCCACCCCAGATGCTAGCTCTCCTGGAACTCGGGCTGTCCAGCAAACATGTTCACTGTCATCTATGTCCTGTGGACACAAATAACCCTCCAAACGCTGCAAACTGCCACACCCTATAGGCACGACTTGCTTTAGGCCTTTAGGTAAATGATAATGTTTATGCCCTTAAATATTTCCCCCCTTCTAATAGTCTCTTTAGAGTATTATCAGACTCAGGTGCAACTCTATGGGCTTCTATCAGTCTAAATATTCAGAATCAGGTTTATTGTTACTTCTTATCTGTTCAGCCTATGCACACAAAAGTTAGATTGACTCTTGGCCTATGTCAGAAGAAGGTCTGACAAGAGAATACTTCCTGTGTGGGAACTAGCCAACTCAGAAAGATAGTAATAGACAAGGTGTTTTTAAACATGAATGTTTGGGGCAGACCAAGAATTCACTGATTTCAAACTTCTCACTATGCAGTAGACGTTTAGAAGAGAAAGTAAAAAAAAAAAAAGGCAACAGCAGCAAAGAGAAGATGAAGCAAGCGCAGCATAGAATACTAAACTTGTGTGAAATATAAATATAAAATGACCAAATAAAGAAGCTTCCAAACTTAGCTGGGTCTTCCTGAAGGAGGAGGCAGCAGCCAGGACAAAAGTAGCCTAGGAAAGATCAAATCTTTGCCATTGATAATAGAAAATCTGAATTGGGGAAATGACTATTTGTATATGAAAAAAAAATCAGGAGACAAAACAATGAAGAACAAAAAGGGAACAAGAAGCTCCCAAGATATGAAGATGATAGGAAAGAGAAAGGACCTGCTGCCTTATCTGGTACAGACTTTCACAAGTTCCTAACCCAGAAACAAAGAGCAGAGGCACACTGTATCTCAGCATGGGAGGGCCACAGCTCTAAGTCAGTTCTCTTCTGTCAGTGCCCACCAGCCTTTCACTTCCTAATTCTAGTGCCTCCTGATGCCACCTGCTTTCCTGCCCTTAGTATCTGTGAGATACTAAAATAAATTTCCTCTCAGGTTTTACTCTTTCTAAGGTCCCTGTAATTTATAATCAACAGAGTTCCATCAAATAAAGCACACCTCCCCATAATTTTATAGGTAGTCCAGGGAGATCCCAGTTGAAACTGCCATTAGGATCCCAAGGTTGGGCTCTCCCTAGTGGCA